ATTTAGAAAAAGTAAAGTTTCTTTTTATAATTTGAAGATGTGGAAAAAAATAGTGATTAAATAAAAAAATTTAATAAATTATTTTTTGAATAAATAATGTGTCTAATCTATATTTAGTCAAAATATATACATTGTTTTTTCAATTAATATATACTTTGTGCCGTTATCAGACCTTAGACATTTGAGGAATGTTCGACACTGATTCTCAATGCATCACACATTCAACAAAACTCTTTTTAGTTTGATATTTTGTTTTGAGAAAAATGACTCAAGTGTATATTGCGTAGTCATCTACCGATGTTAAAAATATTTGTGTCCTAACATAGAAATAGTAGATAAAGGTCCCTACAAGTCAACATGCAAGATATCAAAATGAGCACAAGAACAAGTAATGCCATTAAAAAATGACAATTTTTTTTATTAGCAAAGTGACATGATTCACAAGGTACTTCATTATTTTTACAAGTAATGAATATTTTTGAAATTGTTTGTAATCCTAAATCACAAATATATCCTTGTTTTAAATGCCAAATGTTACAAGAACCACTCAACAGAATTAAAAGTTGAAGAATGGTTTGCATAGTCAAGAACATACTATCCTCTTTTCTTGATAGGTAAAGTTGCAACCTCTTCACTATTACCCTTACTAGAAATAGAAGCAGAAATAAAAGTGTCCTTTCTTGTTGAATAACAAGAGAAAAACTTTATCAATGTTAGGAAAGGGATTCATCATCATTATCTTTGACTTAGAATGTTTGAATTTTTCATTCAACCCCTTAAGAAAATGTATCACGTAGTTTTTTATAGTTTTTAGCAGAAGGAATTAAACAACAGGAATAAGGAATGGAACACGAACAAGTAGGAATTCAATGATAATTCTCTAATTCATCCTAAAGAACCTTCAATTGAGTAAAGTAATTCAAAATATCAAGAGTATCTTGATGAAATTCGTAAAGATATTCTTGAATGTCTGAAATGCAGAAAATTCCACTATGAGAAAATCAAATATGCATGTTCTTCTAAACACCAATTGCATTATCAATCCAAAACACAAATTTTGCAATTGATTCATATATTTTTCGTTGAATCCAGGTAAGAACCATATTGTTACAACGAATCCAATGAGCATAAAGTATATGAGAGATAAGAGGTTTGGGTAGTGTTCCGTTAATTAGTTTTTCTTTATTCTCGAAAATCAAATCTATTTGCATCGATCAATCCCATGTATGATAATTCTTGTCGTCGAGCAATGGAGAAACCAAAAACGAGCATATGATTCTCATTTGGATGTAGGTAATACAAATTTGTAGAATTCGTAAATAAAATCAATGAAACTATGGTATGGCAATGAAATTAAAGAAAGAAAGAAATGCACAAAAATGTGAATTTCAAGAACGAAACTGTGAGATTAGAAAAAATAAATAAAGAATGAAAGATAAATCTTAAAAAATCGCAGAAGAAGAAAATGCAAAAGAGAAACAACAACAATGACTACTAGAGCTTGTGAAGCTCTGATACTATGTTGATGATGAAGATCTCAGAAAAAAGAGAAGGAAAAGTTTGTTATAGTGGTTAAAAATGAATTGTGTTGATAACTTAATTACAACATAAAATGCTTTATATACATGTGAATTTTTTGAGTTAGTTACATAGCAAATAGAGGTGAGAATAGATTGGGCCGACTTAGCCTTTGTCAAGCCTAAGGTTGTCCTGTTAAAAATATCAAAGTCTAAGCATGACCACTAATATGGCATATACTTATTTTTAAACCTGAGTCCGTCCTTTTCAAAGACCTGATTGTCATGTAAGCCAACTTAAAAGCCTATTTTATTTAAACATATATAAATAAGTAACTCAATTAATATTTATATATAATAAAATTCTAAAAGATCGATGATACTAAAAATATGTTTTCAATAACTTATTTGAGCTTACCTAGTATCAGAAGTTGTGAATTTATTTGTTTAAAAAAAATTATGAAAATAACTTATGATATTGTTCATAATGTGTTTTCATCCTATTTTCATCCGTTCTTTATATAACTTAGGTTCATTTTTTTAAAATATTTTAATTCAGAGTGCAATATATAATAATAATAATAATAATAAAATTATTCATATTTATTTAAATAAATGGACTAGTAGGTTTAAAAAGTTTCTTTGATGGCGTAAGGTCTAATGTTTTTAGTTAAATAAACTTTTAAAAAGCATAAACCTTTTCTATTTAAAATAAGTATGACCTGACCTAAACTTACGTAGAATAGATCGTAAGCCACTATTAGTTGTTCTGATCTATTCTCCCTAATAGCAAATAATATACCTAACTGAGAACTACTCTAACTATAATAAGTGCACCACTATAACTAGATAATAATATAAATGAGTCTATACAATAATGGACTTAAACTAATACAAAGACAATGGCTTAGCCCGCCTCACTCTTGAGCCAATCTTACCCACAACTAAACTATTAGCAAAATATATATATATATATATATATATATATATATATATATATATATATATATATATATATATATATATATATATATATATATATATATATATATATATATATATATATATATATATATATATATATATATATATATATATATATATATATATATATATATATATATATATATATATATATATATATATATATATATATATATATATATATATATATATATATATATATATATATATATTCTCAATTGATACTCATTTAAATTATCTCACAATTTAATTGATCAATTACAAGCATTTAAATTCATCTATATAACATGTCTTGCACACTTTAATATATAAGAAAGAGACAATTATTTAAAAATACATTTCAAATAAATAAATAAATAAATAAATAAATAAATAAATATATATATATATATATATATATATATATATATATATATATATATATATATATATATATATATATATATATATATATATATATATATATATATATATATATATATATATCAATTTTTGTAATAATATATATATTTTTTAATAAAGACAAAGTATTGAATAAAGAAGAAAAAAAATAAAGGACATGAGTAGGGCTGGAAATGAGTCGAGTCGAACTCACCTCAGCTCGGCTCGACTCGTTAAGAATTGTTCGAGCTCGAGTTCGAAACAAATTTTTTTTTCAGCTCAAACTCAACTCGTTATAAGTTTACGAACATTTCGGTTCAACTCGTTAGGTTCATCTCATTAGGTTCAACTCACATGATTCACGGACTTAAAAACTATATACATATATATATATATATATATATATATATATATATATATATATATATATATATATATATATATATATATATATATATATATATATATATATATATATATATATATATATATATATATATATATATATATATATATATATATATATATATATATATATATATATATATATATATATATATATTTTAGTATATTTGACATTTTAAATAAATATATTTTTTAAAAATAAAATATTAAAATAAAATAAAAGTTATCATATTGAAATTTAACTTTATCTTCGAAATCTACTATTCAAAACCTACACAACTTTCAAGAGATACATTTGAGAGTTTAATTCAAAAACTATTAAATTGAAGATTAAATTTGTCTAAGATTTGAAGTAAATATTTAAACCTAATCTTAAAGACAGTATAATTCTTCTCATATGTAATCGAGTTGACTCATGAACCCAACGAGTCGAACTATGTATAGTTCAAGTTCAGCTCATTTAGTTAACGAACTTAATTTTTTGCTCATACTCAACTCATTTGGTTCATGAACTTAGTTCAACGATTTAATTGTCGAATCGAATTCCGAACTATTTTCGAATTGATTCGGTTCATTACCATCCCTAGACATGAGACATTAAACCTAACTTATCAAACAACTAGCATAAATAATAGTTAAAAATGTTCAATCAATTCTTCAAAAAAATTCTCAAAAACACAAATAGGATGTTAATCTCACCAATTGTCATAATAAAAAAACTAATGTATGTCGACATGCCTTTTTCTATTAAAATATCATTCATTTAATTAAAAGAGTCAAAGGATAAAATTCACATTTAAAAATAATTTAATTTTAAAAAATACTATTTAAAATAAATTAAAAAATATTTTTAATTAATTATACATTTGAATATATCAAATATATTTGTGTGTGATAATAATTATATGCATGATTTTCATTTTTTACACTTTAATTTTGCACATATTATTTATCATATTTAAAATAGTATATGACTTTGATTTTAAAAAATTAAATGAATTCATTAAATGACCTGAGATTTAAAATATTATATACATGAATTTATATAATAAAAATTATTTTTCTATAAAAAAATAATAATTTTATTTTTCAATACAGCTAATGTAGTTTAGATTTTAGTTTCTAAATAAAATATATTAAAAATATAACAACTATAAGATTGGAGAAAAAGATATTTATTACATCAGCATTTCTTTTATATGCATAATTTGTGGTTTTTTGTTGACTTTTTGAATATTTGAATAGTGTCGGTGTCTGTTTCTATTTTTTAAATATTTTGTATGTCTTTTCTTATTTATTATTTTAATTTGTCATTTAAAAAAATATTTTACTTCACCCATCTTAAATTATAAATTATTCTTTGATCAATGTTTGTTTAAAAAATTTAAGACATTATAATATTAACGAAACATTAACATTTTTTAATTATAATATTATTACTATTTAAAATCTTTCAATTTTTTAAATTTGACTTTTCATATTATTAATAAAAAATAATATTATAAAATTATATATGCATTTTTTTTCATATATGAGACAGAATTTATAATTTAGAAAAGAAAGAGTAAGACTTAATTGAGATAAATCCCTTCTAAACTAAGTTTTATTCAATTAATGGTATATTGTCATGTCTTTAAATACCACCTCTTTTCAATTCATGAATTGATCACTCAAACCTACAATTGCATCCTTTGTTGTGTCTTTACCTTAGTCATGGCTATGTCACACTCTTTGGTTCCTTTGTTCTTTTTTATGATGTTCCTTGTACAAGCTATGTCTAGTGGCATTGATCCAACATGGTATGATGCTCGTGCAACCTTCTATGGTGATGAATCTGGTGGTGAAACTATGAGTAAGTTATATAATTAAACTTCTCTTTCCCTTTATATGTAAATTTTTAACAATCTCGAATCTCAATTGCTAGACAGAGATCAGATGACTTGTCTTTTAACGTATATTTAATTATTTTTTGTGATACAATATATGATATATATGTAGACGGAGCTTGTGGTTATGGTGATCTCTTCAAACAAGGATATGGACTTGCAACCACAGCACTAAGTACTGCTCTATTCAATAATGGATTAACTTGCGGTGCATGTTTTCAGATAATATGTGTTAACGACCCTCAATGGTGCATAAAGGGTGCAAAACCAATTACAGTGACTGCAACAAATTTTTGTCCTCCAGATTATTCCAAAACCTCAGACATTTGGTGCAATCCTCCACAAAAACATTTTGATTTGAGTTATAAAATGTTCACATCTATTGCCTATTATAAAGCTGGTGTCATCCCTGTTAAATATCGACGTGTTCCATGTGTTAAAAGTGGAGGTGTTAAGTTTGAACTAAAAGGAAACCCTTATTTTTTTATGGTTTTGGTTTACAATGTTGCCAATGCAGGTGATGTTAGTAATGTGAGTGTTCAAGGATCTAAGACTGGCTGGATTACCATGTCACACAACTGGGGACAAAATTGGGATGCCAATGTGAATTTTATAGGGCAAAGTTTGTCATTTCTTGTTACTACAAATGATGGAAAAAGTTTGAACTTTCCTATGGTAGTTCCTTCCAATTGGCAATTTGGACAAACTTACGAGGGAAAGCAAAATTTTTAATGGTGTATACTTTTGTTAAGAAATATGCATCTAGTCACAAAATTACTAGACATGTATAATGTAATACCAGTTAAACTGTATTGATCAATAAATTTTTTTAAATTTTGAAATTGTTTGAAAAATGAAGTACAACAAAGGCATAAAGTTAAGTAATAAGAATCATATGTACTTCGCAGAAAATAAGTTTAATAAAAATTTATAAGAAAAAAAATCCCCTACAAGAGAAGGACAAACACCTTCATTAGAAAAAATAGAAACAAAATATCTACGAAAATAAACCACCAACAAGCCTCTAAAACAAGATCACCACCGCCAAAATGTGGGATTTCGATCCCATAAAACCCTTAATGAAGGATGCATATTGCAAGATTTTCCTTCCAGTTGAACAAGGTGCAAGAAACACACAAGGTTTCCAAAAACCATTTTCAAGAAACTATTTCCAAGATCAAATATATTCTACGCTCGATAGTTCCTCTTTGGTAGATATCAACCTTGAAAAGATGAACTCATTTTGAGATTTTCTGATAACACACATCATAGAATTCCAAAATAAAGATAAATTATATCTAGCCGTAAATGTAGATCCAAGAGGCATGACTATTACTAAGATAAACCCTAATATCCTAGAAAAAAATAAATCCCACCCAATCCACCTAAAGACATTTGACCACATGGAAGAAACCAAATCGCATGAAAGAAAAAGATGACAAGAATACTCCACAACACCTTGATAAAAAGTGGTGGGAAACTAATTAGGTCAACAATCACACTAATCATAAAGAGCTTATCGATAGTGGGAAGTCTATCTTTAAGTAAATCCTAAGAGAAAACTAGAACTTTAGAAGGGGTCCAATTCTTCCAGACAAGAGCATGACTTGTGCAATATCACGAGAGAAAGAATCGTTATGCATAAGAGGTCAAGAAAAAGAAGAGATAAGTTAATTTTACCGGGTAAATACCATTCTTATCAAGCCGTGACAACCCAAAATCCTCTTTAGAAGAGGTGCGAAAAACCTCAATGGCGGCCAACAAATTCACCACCAGTTCATATTCTTAAACAAACAGTCCTCCTCCATTGTAGGTTTTAAGCTAAAACCTCATCGAACATGCATATAAATTTACATTATACTTATTATAAAAAAATAAACCCTCGAAAAGTGATATCTCATAAGGATAGTACCACACCACAGGTCATCTAAAAAAGAAATGGAAAGGTCAATTCCGAACTTTCTAGTGTGGCTCTCATAGAACCAATATGAGATCACATAAGAGTTATAACCATTGAGGGTGATTCCTTTCCAATAAGGTGAGGAGAAATTAAAACCTACAGACTTCCAACCAATAGAGGATCTAACTACACGTGCCCCATATCTAGTTGAGAGGATATTAAACTAGATGCCACCACCATGCAATAATCTCCACCGCCACTTACTTGTTAATGCCAAATCATCCAAATACAAGTCCCTGACCTCCATCCTTATTAGGCCTAAAATATTCAAACCAAAGAACTCAAACGGTCTGTAACACCCATATATAATACATGTCTAGAATTTACATATTATAAATATAAAAAAACTAGGAACTAGATCATGACAAGATGATCTGAAAAATAACTACACAACGGATACGCCGTCCAAAATAACAAAGGAAGCAAAGACATCATGATACCTTGTCCTTACCCTTCGCCTGATCAGAACCACATAAAATTAATCAACAAATATGGGGTGAGATGATAATACCAGTGAGTTCCCTATCTTATGGGTCTATTCGGATTTACAAGTTTCTAATCATCATCCTAACTCAAGTCACAAAGAGGAAAAGACTTGAGCCCATAATTCTTGCATTATATTGAAATATGTTGCTTGAGTTCATCAACTCAAACCATTACTAATCGAAAACTATACCAATGCATCTTTCCCCAGCCAACCCTAAGTCTAGAGTCATCGACACGGGTTACAGATCCTTGTATCATACTTTGACATACACATGGATTTTAGATTCTAAGGGACTCCTAAAACTTAAGAATCATCACTTCCTATGGGACTCCAAACCCATTTCAAGCCTTTCACCCATATGTGACTCTAACCCACTTAAGGTTCCATCGTTTTTGGTACTCAAGCCGGGTCAAAGTAATGGTGTGTACATCCCAATTCTTACTCTATATAATCATCACACTTGAGACGACACAATTAAGGGTTGTTTCCGACTACGTGATTAAATGAGGGACAACGTGATTGTATTCGACAACCACAAGGAGATCATATCACCTTAGAACACACAACAACAATACATGTTCCATACAATTCCTAACATCTAAGCTAGACAACCACTTGCTCATGATACACACCTAGGTATCACATGCATAAACATTTCCATCTATGGCATCCATCATATCCTAATTATCTTGCTAATTCATTCCATTAATTACTATTAAGGTTTCCTTGCCAATCCTTATAAATTTTTCAAGTCATGTTATCACTTATTCACAAGCAACAAATCATAGGTGGACAACATGCATAATACTCACCAACCATAGTAATTAACATACAGTAACTTATAACAAGGCTAAAACATACATATGGTACACAATAAGCAAGGGACAAAAGCATCTTCCAAAACTCTGTCACGATCGCCCACCGAGCAGCCAGCGAGGCTGGCTCGCTTTTGGTTCGTCTGACAAACCCCAAGAGAGGACCAGATAGGGGTAAAATTGCATCATGGTCTCCCAGCAAGCAACCAGCGAGCTAGCTCGCCTTCTGTTTGCCAAAGCTCACCTGACGACGCTAACAGAAATCAGCTCGCCCGGCGAGAGCGTCGATTTCTACATAAATTCAGTAGATTTTTGATGGCAAGGAAATGGGGGTTTGACCCAATACTCATACATGACTCATTCCAACAAAAATACCATCATACCATTACAACATAACATCATATTAGGCATGAACAACAACAAAATCATTTCATTCTTATGTTAATGGAAGAAACATATCAACAATCCAAATATTATCAAATTCTATCTCAAAACATAAAATTCCTAATTTCTACAACTTAAGGTTTTTACCTAGAACCCACCTTGCTAATGAGATGAAGAAGTGTAGGATGATGAAAATGGAATGAGGTTGATGAAGTGATGAGGATGAGCTCCAAGTTCTTCTTCTTCCACTTGGTTTCCTTCTCTATTCTTCCTTTCTAAGACTTTCCCAAAAAGTTGGAAATGAAATGATACATTGAGATATCATATGGGAAAGTTAGTAAGAATATATCATTTTTGGTGTTAAAGTGTTCATCAAACTTGTGGTAAAAAATGATACAATTAGTAGTAACATAAATATTAAGTGGTACAGTACTTAATATTTGTTCTACTAGAGCAACTTACTCATTATTAATTTTATCAAAATGTCTCTTTGTACCAATTAGTAAAAGGTTAGTATTGAATAATATTAATTAATTTAATTTGAGCTCACTAAATACTCTAATTATCCCAACTGATAACTTTTAAAGAATATAGGAACTCAGTTGATCTCAACTGATATAGTTAAAGTATTTAAAGAAATATGGGATATTACATCCTCCCCCTTTAATAAAAATCCATCCTCGAATTTAAAGATTACTTGGAAAATATAAGGGTAAATTTATCGCATCTATGAATCAAGTTCCTAAGTAGCATCGCCTGGATGTGATTTGTCCCACTGAACCTTAACAAGAGGAATCTCCTTGTTCCTCAACACCTTAGTTTTCCATTTGACAATACGACTTGGTTGAGGTTCAAATGTTAGGTCTGCTTCTACTTCCACTAAATCCGAGAGAATTGGCTGAAGAGGATCAGGAATGAACTTCTGGAGTTGAGACACGTGAAAAACATCATGCATCTCAGATAGAGAAGGTGGTAAGGCTAGTCTATATGCTACTTCACCAATCCTTTCTATAATTTGATATGGTACCACATACTTCAGACTTAACTTTCATGATTTAAACGGTCCTTTCAATCTCAACCTTGGAGTAACCTTAAAAAATACATGATCACCTTCCTCAAATTCTAATGGTCTTCTTCTGTTATCTGCGTAACTCTTCTGATGGTCTTGTATCTTCTTTACCTTATCACAAACCATTCTTATCTTCTCAGTAGTCTCTTGAACTATTTTCGGTCCTAAAATATGTTCTTCACCAACTTCTATCCAACACAAGGGCGTTCTACACTTCCTTCCGTTTAAAGCTTCGTAAGAAGTCATACCGATACTTGCGTGGTAACTATTGTTGTGGGAAAATTCAATCGGTGGTAAAAGCTCTTTACAATTTCCTCCACTTTTAAGCACACAAGCTCTTAACATATCTTCCAATGTTTGTATCGTCCTCTCTATTTGATTATCCATCTGAGAATGATTCAATGTACTTAAACACAACTTAGATCCCATGATTTGCTGAAAAGCTCTCCAAAACCTTGAAGAACTATTCAATAGACACAAATACCACAACTTAGAAATTAGAAGATATATAGGCACTTTTTTCTAGCACCATAAACATTCTGAAAAATCATTTCATAGTAAACCAAAATACTTCTAATTAGTTATGTGAAGGCTATAATATCTAATTATCTAAATATACAGGTAAAACCTGATGAACATTATTTTTAAAAGTACACCATATATATTAAAAACGAGTAACATAAATATAATAGAACATGCTAATTTGAACTTGGGAAGACATTTATGCCTGTTGGGTGCTTGATTCACCTTTTGTGATGTTGTCGTCAATGCTGCCAGAAGGGGCGTTTTCGTCCTTGTTGGTGTGGTCCCTATTTTCTACCCTAAGTATTTCCCAATCTCCCCGACTCTCAATATAGTAATCACACAAACCCACAGTGTTTAGAATATTTTACAATCCTCTTAGATAACTCCAAAGGTTTACAAAAACCCTAAATCCGTATTTCTCTCTTAAGCTCTAAAATTCTCAAGATTGTTGTCACGATTGGCAAAATGACAAAGTCGCCATCATCCTTTATT